GGGTCTGAAGCTTGTGTTGTTTCCTCTTAGGCTGTAAAGAACTCCCTGAATAGTGAGCATAAAATCCCAGAGGGTCTTCTACATTTTAAGGAGGAAAAACATCTTCCTTTCCACCTCTGTTCCACCCCAGAGAGACAGCAAAAGATAAATCTGAACGCTTCAGCCTCCATGGTGGCTGTCCCAGGAGGACATTGCCACGATGGTCAAACCTTGAAAATTCAGACCACTTGGGGTAGGGGAGGGGCACTGAATGAAGAAGAGGCGCCTGAAATACCAAATTAATTGTTAAAAAAGTCAGGGTTAGTACCTTTCAGTATGTAAGAAAACCAGAGCTAGAATCCTTAGGAGACTGGTTTTAGTGCCAAAAAAGAATGGTAAGAATGGTTTATAATAAGAGTGCCAAGTGATGGCTACGTGTGTTTATTGAAGCCAATGTGCTGTGAAAATAAGAGGACATGTTCCTGCCCTCAAGGAGCTTATAATTTACAAGTCACACAGACACATACACAATTAGAGAGCAGTATAAGAGAATCCAGTTGTGAGGATGGGGGTTGTTTGTATATAAACGTGAGGTGTTTAGGTGCCTTGAAACAGCTTCTTCCTTTCTTAAGTTCTGTCATTTTCCCCTCCGTATATTAATTTTGTTAATTTGCTACTCTCATCCTTTCAAATTTTTGGATTATATGGAAAGGAAGGGGGTGGAAGTGAAGCCATAGGGAGTGGCCACAGGGTCATTTCAGGATGTAATAAAAAGGAACAGGCATCTTGCAGAAGGGGTTTAAATTAGACATTAGAAAGAGTGTTCTGAGACTTTTGGGGTAAGAGGTTATTGAAGAAAGTTGGTATTTTTCTAGTGGATAATGAGATATTTGGGGGATCACTTCAAACTCTGTAGAGATTTGTGTGAGAATATGGTAAGTCGGGAGAGAACCCCCAAGAAGGCCCCGTAAAGGTAACAAAAAATGACAGTCATCTGTAAATGCTTGTGATATGTCCAACCATTGTCAGCTATACCTTTAGTTAGACTCTAGCCCACACACCCTCTGTTGCGTCACCAGCCTCTCCATTTATCAGTAACTTCACAGTTTGACAGGAGTGAGAATTTCCCAAGATGCTCCCTTGACCCCATTCACCTCTTCCTACCCGCCCCCCCCCCCCCCCCCCCCCGCCGCCTCACTCCTGGCCTGAGTCCACTCAGAGCACAGGCTTCTCAGTTCTGGGCATCCTCCCCCCACCCCCCGTGCTTTACTAGAAATGCCTTCCAGCCAGATTCCTCTCGGGTCGCTGGCAGTGCTGCTGTTCCCTGCCTGTCACCGGAAGCCTGGCCCCAGGGTGGACAGCTACCTACCTGGCATCCCGTGGTGGACAGTCACAGCCTCTCTCTGCTCTTTGACATAAAAACTATGTGCACCAGAGTCCCAGGAACTCTCAAAACCTCTCATTGTGATCACTTTGGTTTGTCTCTTGAAACCCACATGGCAGTTTCCTATGAACTGATTCTCCCTGGAGGCCAGTGTCCGGTCCTAACAGGCACCAGTCAAACGCTGGACATGGCAGGTGTGGCTGGTTGGGCTCAAGTGGCCTATTCGGAGTCTCTGTTCCTGCAGCACCTGGTAACGTCATTTTTTTTTTTTTATAAATTTATTTATTTTTAGTTTTGGCTGCTTTGGGTCTTCGTTGCTGTGTGCAGGCTTTCTCTAGTTGCGGTGAGCAGGGGCTACTCCTCACTGCGGTGTGCAGGCTTCTCCTTGCGGTGGCTTCTCTTGTTGCGGAGCACGGGCTCTAGGCGCGCAGGCTCAGTAGCTGTGGCTCGTGGGCTCTAGAGCGCAGGCTCAGTAGTTGTGGCACACGGGCTTAAGTTGCTCCGCGGCACGTGGGATCTTCCCGGACTCGGGCTTGAACCTGTGTCCCCCTGCATTGGCAGGCGGATTCTTAACCACTGAGCCAACAGGGAAGCCCCTGGTAACTTCATTTCTGCCAGAAGTTTCTAAAGTCTTGCTGATGTTCGCTCACCTTGGGGAGGTTTGGGAGTGGAGGGTGGAGAGCTGGGGGGAGGGGACTGATTAATGGGCACCACTGATGGGATGGGATGAGCGATTTCAGGCGGTGTAAGACAAGTGGCTGCAGCTGGAGAAGACATGCTGGCCAGGAGATGACGTCACCTGCACAGGCTCCCTCTTGAGTGGACCCCAGGGCCAGGAGCTGTCAGCATATGTGGGAAAGCTGGGTCTCACCTAGGTTCTGTGTCTTCCCCAGTGACCCTACTCTTGGTCTCTCTGCTGAGCAGGTTCGAAAGTAAGTGAGTCCTCTGGGACCTATGAACATTTAACCCTCTGGGAACAGAGCCCCAAGAAGTAAAACCAAGGGGTTACCTGCTGTCCCCAGAGAGCACCTGCTTGGGTGGTACCAGTTCAGTGTTCCAGGCACAAACATTGAATCAAATATTCAACGCAAATATTTGTTTGAGCCTTTTGCCACTAGAGGGCAGAGGCTTTTCCAACTGTGGGAGGGTCACAGTCCTTTTCCTTTTTAGAGTTGAATGGGAATCTACAAAAAATATTTGAGGAGGCATCTACAAAAAGTGTCCACAAACCTCCGGCTTTTCTCCCTCCTCACAATAAATGGATATTCTCCACCAGGTTGACTAAACGGATAGAATGGACAGTGGTTTTGTTTTCAAAAACGTTCTTGCAGTCAGCAGACCATCGGGCACTAGAAATCCACATCCCAAGCCAGTGCACACATGGGCCTGGTGGGTGGGCAGCGCTGGCCTGCGTGTGCTAGCGCAGTTTGGAGAAGGAAGATGTGTGCCCCCAGACACCTCTGACTTGATGTTATCAGGAGCACAGGGCTGAGCCACTGGAGCTGTGGACAAATCCATGAACTTTCCAGGATCAAGATTTCTATCACAGCCTGAGGCAAGGGATTATAGGCTGTTACTTGAGGAAGTAAGCCCAGGAATGGCCTCTCAACACCCTCCCCCTTTCCTGCCCCTGACTATGCACGGAGCACAGACTGTCTTTTCCCCTTTTCTTCATCTCACACCTACTTCATCCAGAAGCGCTTCTTGCAGGGAGCTCTCTTTGCTGCTGCCCTCTTCCCTCCCTCCAGCTAAGCAGCAGGGCTACGATGAGCTCAGGGGGGGTGAACTGAGAGGGTCTGTACTGGTATTTAATTCAAAACGGAATTTCCTCTACGGCGAGGGTGCCAGTTCTGGTTTTATGATGTACAGGAGACATCACTGATCATTAAAAGATTTTTCAGGAAACTCTCAAAATCAAATTCCAAGATCGTTTGCTAAAAATGAAAATCCATAGAAAAAGGAACTCAGAAAAAATGAAAGGGGTGGAGAGAGAGACAATGTCCTCTGGAAATCATAAAAAAAGTCCTCCAGACTTAGTCTGCACTTGGGTTTCTGGGCAATAGGGGTCTGGGACTGCATGGGCCGCACCCTGGCTACATCGCTTTCCCAGTGACAGGCACATCAGTTCCTTAGACCCAGGGACAGGCAGACCCCAGAGGTGGAAGGAGCACAGAATGCACGGGCCAACACTCTTCACGTGAGAAGCAGCTGGGAGCAGCTTCAGAGGCAGGAGCGGGGTCTTGGGCCCCAGCCCAGCCTGTGACTCTCCGCTGCGTCCTGCTGCGTCTTCCTTGCTCAGCCTTCTTCAGGCTGGCAATCCAGTTAAAAACCCTACATGTGAGTAGCAGAAATGGCAGCCCTGACAAACCCTGCACGTGGTGCTGTCGTCTCTAACTTGATCCTTTCTTGAACCTACATATCATGGCCCTGGAGGGATGGGTGTCACCCCTAGTGACACCTTTCCTGGCTGCAGGGAAAGGCGGAATCTTGCCTTATGGATGTAGAATCTTGCATAAAATGAGAGGGGAGAGCTGCCATGACTGAGGGTCACAGGAAGACCCAGAGAGCTCCTTGCTGCAAAGAAATGCACAAACTCAGGTCTCCCAGCTCTGCACGGGCCCCGCTCTCCTCAGTCATTTCCCCCTGCCTAGGAGGGACGTGAAGCCCCACACCAGCCTCTTCTGAGCTGCGCCTGTACAGTAATTGCATTTGTGCTTGTGTGTGCCTCTGTACAGTGGCCTGGGGACACCAAGCACCACGAAGTAAAGATCAGTGAGAGGCTGGGGCAGGGCAGGAAATTCGAGGCTTCTTTGCGGCCACGTTTCTGTTGTGAGCTTGAGCCCTTTGGGGATTGCTTCTTCCAGGAAGTCCTCTGAAGCCCAGAAGAGTGGGAGCCGAGTACAACCACAGGTGCACCGCTGTTCTCCCTCGGGCATGTGCGATCTGTTTGTACCAGGGACTGACAAGGTCTGGGCAGAGCCCCTGAGGGCTGGGAGAACAGCAGGAAGATGAGGGCTGGAGGTTCCAGGGTTGGTCAGTGGCAGAGCAGATGCTCAGCCCCACCACGGGCAGGGCTGTCTCCAACCAGCACTTGGACTGGTTTGAGTTCCTTCTGCATCTTCTAGGGTCAGCTGGTCTCTGTCACTGCTTCTGTCTACCAGAACGAGGCAGATGTTTTATGATTAGAACCTAAAGCAGTGCGATCATGCACTAGAATAGTTTCAAGTCGTGGGTAAATTTTAGTTAATCTTCCTTCCCAGTCCTTAACCCCTGTATAATTACAGCTTCAAGCCTGAAATCTGCCTTTTCCAAACTAGTGATTTTACCTTGTCTGCTGGAGTCAAAGGTCATGAGTTCTTCCCTCATGAATAAAAGTTTAAAAAGTTTTTAGCTTTAAAAAAATATTTATTTATTTGGCTGCGTCGGGTCCTAGTTGCGGCACGCGGGATCTTCATTGTGGCATGCAGGATCTATTGTTGCGGCGCACAGGGCTTCTCTCTGTGGCGGATGGGCTCAGTAGTTGCAGCACATGGGCTCTCTAGTTGTGGTGCACGGGCTCCAGAGCGCGCAGGCTTAGTTGCCCCACAGCGTGTGGGATCTTAGTTCCCTGACCAGGGATTGAACCCACGTCCCCTGCATTGGAAGGCGGATACTTAACCACTGGACCACCAGGGAAGTCCCCTTCCTTCATTTACATAAATGCCTTTCTCCACAAGGACTTCCCCTCCATATGGAAGCATCAGAAGACCTGAAGACTACACTGGGGTTTCCTGAGTCTGCTCTTCCAAGCCAGAAAGGGCCCCTCTGAGGGATAGTAGGTCCCACTGAGGCTTCACGCATAGGAACAGTCCTTTAAGAAGGCACCTGCCAACAGCTACTTTTACATGGGCTGGGAACATTGACATAATGGAGCCATTCAACCAAGTGTCAATATTTGGTCTACCAGACAGAATTAAGTGTTTGAATAATTTACTAAGCTTTTCTGGGTTTATAGGACTCTTTCAAGTCACGGATATACCCCCTTGGATTTCCTTTGAGTCCATTGTTTATGTTTTTTGAAATTCCATCTTTATGTCCCCTAAAAGTTCAAGATCAATAAACTTTAAAACGTAGGGAAAAAAATGAAGAATACGGCATTTGGGCTGGCTCTAGAGTTTCCCCCCGACTCCCCTGCAAGCACACACAGTGGTTGTCCTTGTTCTTATTCTGTTTGGTGACATGGATTCATTCTCACTTACTCTGAATTTTTTGGGAAAAAAAGAACCACCTTTCAGAGTGGGGAGAATCAAAACCAAGTGGCACTTGCTGCCAAAGTGGCATTCTGTTGACCCAGAAGCCCCTGCTAAGTGGATGCTCCGGGGAGGGTCAGCAGGCCAGGGAGTAGCTGTGAAAGGGCCAGCAGGGGTTAACAGCACTGGTCAGGGCAGGGATCAAGCAAGCAGCTTCCTGTGGATCTCAAGTGTGGAAAACACCCTGGAGGCAAAGTTTAAATGCCCTCTTGTTAATTTTCCTCAAACAAATCCAATTATTGCAAAATCTGTTAGTGTCGTTCAAGATAGTATGACACAACTTTGCAGAGAACAAAATAAAATCTATATATATATATGAGAAAAATGTTTACTCTGGTTGAAGTATTTTCAACCCCCAGGGGTTCTGATTTGGAAAAGAGTATTCAGTGTTCCTCTTTCATTTTATGTAGTAAGCCAGGACACCTTATTCTCTCCGGGGGGCTTACTTAGCTCAGGACTGCCTGGGTCTTATTCTCAATAAAACATTCATATATTCGCTCTTTCTATGCAGAAAACACAATTTTAAAATACTGACCATCATGTTGGGACACGATGCTGCTTGTGTAAGAAAGTCTGTATGCCTTTCTGGCTCCAACAGGCCCAAGGAGCCCTCAGCAGGGTTCCCATCTGAGTTTGTAGACACACAGGCAGGGACAGCACATTTGTTTGCCTTTAAGAAAGGTACAGTTTATGGCAATGCTTTTCTTTATTGAGTCCTTATCTTGTTTGTACTTTCTAGTGCACTTTTAAGGTAAGGATCGTTGGAAAACTCTATTTTAGACTTAAAAAATTTTAATTAGTTACAAAATTTCTTGAGGAAAAATATATATTTAAAGAATCATTACTTTTTTGAGATGAAGGTAAAACTTGTTTCTGGAAGACTTATTCACCAGTTTCTATAATCCATAAGTTCATCTCCGAGGCCGTGGATACAAATATCTTTAGGTATTTGAAGAAATGATTTTATTATTACCTGAAAGCTTTGAGTTTGGGGAATTAGAGAAATTGTCTTAACTTGAAGATTCAAATCTGGATACTGCTGCCATGCAGAAAGAATTTTATCTAAATTGCGAAAAAGTCAGTGTCTTGGAGATGATGTTTACTTGATAGGAAAAACCATCAGTATTACTATGTCAAATGCTGGTTTGGAAATAGCTTTAATGCAATGGATAGTTATTGGAATAATAACTACAATAAATTTAGTATCGAGCCAAGAAGATATTAACTTGTTTTTTCTTTTAAACTACCTTTACCACTTGGAATTACAAGTTGAATTTTCAAAAAATAAAGAAAATGGATAAAAAAATGATACCATGCATAGTAAACTATAAGATGTGGTGTTATCAATAATCTTCATATTGATAAATATACTTAAAAAAAAAAACTGTCTGGCAATGCTCATCCATTTCCCAGGGAAATCTACCTTATGATGGAGTTTGGAGAGGCAGTAGCAATGAGTTAAGGGGACAGCCTCTGTGGCCCAGGTCCCTTGGCCTGTTCTCCTCTTCCCTACCAGGAGGAGGTACATGAGAATCATCAGCTGGCCTGTGGATGAGATGGGGGACCCTGATGCCACTGAGACTTAGCCACAGTTACGGGACTTCAGGGCTGGCTCTCGATCCTCTGAGGCCTTGGGGGGCATCTTCAATCTTGATTCTTAGTCCTTCCCATGCCCAGAGCTCCTGGACACAGTGAGAAGACACCAGGGAGCGAGGGGACAGAAGTGATCATACTACTGGTTTAACTTTGCAGCCCATATGCCCAGGGAGCCTAGGCAGCAAGCGACATGTAAGCCTCTTGAGTGGAAGAAGGAAGAAGTGGGTTCTGCCATAGTCACTGGAGAGCCTCGATCTGTTCTCTGGGGAGACTGAGCAAAGGGAGCTTTATATCTGACATCATCAACACTGGAGGCAGGTCCGTGGCACTGACCAGAGCTTCCTTTACCTCACATCTGGGCTTAGCGGTGAGGACCAGGGCTCGTCTTCCGCAGCTCCCAGAATAACAGCCAACCCTCCTTTTTCCTATTTTTCTCAGAGTTCTCCTACAGGTCTTCTCCGGGATTTCCTTAACTGCTGGGACAACTTTTCTGATTATTATCTTTTCCTGAGCTTTACTATTTCACTTCTTCCATGAAGGTCAGCCTATTTGATATGAAGTTGGAGAGAAGGTAGAATAGCTTGTGCTACAATGGAAGGGCTCCACTCATATGGAACGGGCATCTCAGAGACACACTAGATTTCTCTGAACACTGCCTATGACTTCTCTCTGGCTGAGAAGGTAAGGTGCCAAGCAGCGCCTTTGTGGCAGGTGTCACTGGGTCTGTGGTTAGGAAAGTGCCCACAGGTGGTTGTTAAAGGACATTGAAGGGTTATGGCCTCTTTTTGGCCCTGAGAGAGCATTGGAGGGGGAAGAGTCAGAAGACCCCATCGGTGAGAAAACCCAAGCCTCAGAGAGGTCTCACTGGCCACTCTTAGCCTCTGGTTGTGCTCCATGTCAGCAAGCAGCTCAGGAATCCTATGTGTGAGAGAGATTCTTCACAGGGGTCTAGAACAGGACAGTAAAGAAACAGGCGAGGCCATCCTCTCTGGCCATTCCAAGGCCCCCCCAGGCTGGACACTCTCAATACCCCTCAGTGGCCATCAGTGAAGTGGGTGGCCATGGGCAGCCACATGGCCTGCAGAATTCTCAGAATCCACATACAGGCTGCAGACACTGTTTTTGGCCATGTGCGCATCCATGGTTATGTCCTTTTCTCAGTTCATTAAATCACTTTCTATAACTTTGCTTTGAAAGTTCTAGCAAGGTGGCTGCGTTTGGAGGAGGCCAGGGTGGAGGGAAGAGCAGTGGACTGACCCTGACTATTCCATATGGCAGGACTGCTGCAAGAGAGGGAAGGGCAGACTGGAGAAAGCACCATGGCAACACTAGCCATGCCAGGACCTCAACTGGCAGAGCTATGCTTAAACTAGATTTGATAAAATCTAATTAACTACAGTAATTCTTTCTGAAGCGAAGTCTTCAGAAAAGGGACAAACCACCTCTGCTTGCTTACTTTGAATTTTCATTTCTAAGTATGTCCCCAAGCATGGGAATGTCTTGTTTGCACTTTTACTTTGGCAGTAAAGGTAAGGGGGGTAAAAAGCACTCAACTCAAGCTTTTGAGCAGTCACTAGAATGACAATTTTCCTCCAGGGTTTCTTGTGACACTGTAAGTTCTGTTTTGATCATAACTATTCACTTTTCTTCAGCTTAGGCTCTATTTAAGTGTTCATGAATAACCCTCCCCCTTCTCCTCTGCCCCTTATTATTCCCCCCTCACTCCACCCTCGTGCATGTTAAGTATTGCATGTGATTTTAAAGTGACAGCTATCCAGGAAGCCTTCTGAGTCAGTGACACCTCCCCCTCCACTCCCATCCCCACTATCTCCAAAGTGGCCCCAATGAGATGAGCCACACTTTCTGGTATTCCATTCTTGTGTAATCCCTTCCCCTTGAATCTAGGCTGGCCCTGTGACTTGCTTTTGACCAACAGTCTGTGGTGGGAATGACTCTGTGTTGTTACTTCTGAGGTTATTTAGAAGAGCCTTGCAGCATCTACTGGGACCTCTTGCAACGTTAGCTCTGGGGGAAGCCAGCCGCTATGAAAGCAGTCTGACTGCCTTGAGACCTCCATGTTGTGAGGAAGCACAAGCTAACCATGTGGCGAGACTATGTGTAGAGAGGCGCCCAATCAGCCTCCAGCTGTTCTGGTCATCCCAATAGAGGAGCCAGATGTATATGCAAAGAGTCCATCATGGATATCCTGCCCAGTTCCGTATTCAGATGATACCAGCCTCAAGCTGCCATCTGATAGCAACCGTAAGACTCCAAGAGAGAGCAATCACCTAAACACCGCCAACCCACAGAATCGTGAGAGATAACTTGCCATTTAAACCACTAAGTTTTGTAGTGCTTTGTTATGCAGCAATAGATAATTGGGACACCCACCAGGACAGGATGGCCATGAAGATAGCAAGACATTTTCCGTATCTATCTTTTGTCAGTCTTGTTGGCTTGAGAGTACGCCTCTCTTCTCTTCATATGAAATGTAGTTCTACTGATGGCCATAAGGACAAAATCATTCCATTTACAGTCATGCTTGTTTGGGCATTTTGAAAACATCCACACTGTAGAAACCATTCCTTTCCCTCCCCTCCCCTATTCCTCCTCTGGTCATGCACCAGTGTACTTCCTAGGTATCACATCGCCTGCAAAATGTGCCCGGTTCACTGGCTGGGAAGATGCTTTTGCAGCAACACGCAACCAGGGCAGATCTCCTTGAAGACAAAGGCAGCAAGAGGAATGGGCTGAGAATCAGTGCCAGGTGATTGAGGGAGACAGTTGGTTTCTCCCCATCTCTTGGAACCAGTTTTCCCCAAGGTCTCTTCCAAAGATCTAACCAGGTTATATCCCTTTCCACTGCCATTTCCATTTTTTCAAGGTACTTTAATTTCCTTCTCTATCCTGGAAAAGACAATGGAGAATTACCTTCCCCCCAAGTTCAATGAAACAAGGTTGGAATTTTTCAAAAGGAATATTTACTAGGAAACTAAAGGGAAACCAAACAGAAGGCAAGAGAACAGAGGCAGAGTTGCAGATGGGCTCAAGGAGTTCAAATTTATAACCAGCCTCTGGCCACAGCTGGACTGTTAGGCAAAGCTCTCCAGCACAAGCCACCTGCCTGCCTCACTTTGCCTGCTGGCCCCTACAAAGCCACCTTCTGTTTCATAACAACAAGCCAGTAGCATACTCATAAGTACCCCAGGGCTGCTAGTTCTCTAGGCAGGAAGATCTTAGTCTGGGGAACAACAGGCACAGCTGCCCCAGGATCTCCTACCCAGGCTCCCAGTGCCAAGGACAAGTCAAAGTTTATTGGGATGGCTGCCTGATATCTACTGGGGCCAGTCTGGTTTCTCTGGGACCATCCTCCTGGGCTCATCTGCCTGGATCTAGAGATAATATTTCTGCTGGCACTAGTCCTTCATGCTTTGGTTCTAAACACTGGTATGATGGAAGATGTCTGAATGCAGAGGAATAGGCAGAGGGAACCTTGGGCAAAGAAGGTTGAATTCTTCTCATGTCAACAGACATAGGCAGAACCTTGGGTTCCCTTTGGATCCCGGAGGGTGAAAGCCAGTCAGAGATGGAAATGGATTAGGCAGGCTGGGGAGCACGTGAAGCTGGAATATTGTAACGCTGCCTCATACAACCAAAGGTCTCCATCCTTTTAAGATCTGACATTAGGGTAGTTTCTTGTACTGGGTAGCTGTGGCAATAAGAACTTTCTGAAGACCTGCAATGATTGTGCTTCCACCCAGTTAGTCCCACATGGAAGTGTTAATTCAAATAAGATAAATGAGCTTCCCAGGATGGTAAACTACAGTCCAACTCTGGATTCTGCTGCAAAGCGACTGTACGAAAGGGAAATGCTGTCTTGGAGAAATGGTGCAAATGTATGGACGGGGCACCTTACACCTATAATGGGAGAGAGAGGTAACAATACCACCCCCAGGGCATGCTGAGGCCTTTAGTTTCATTTGTACGGAGGCAGAAGCAATGAGGATGAAGAACACAGCGGGCAGTGGGTTGGCTGATGTGGTCACAAGGGAAGCCGAGTAATGAATGTGATACCCGGGGAGAGCCTCTGACCTTCACTCCTGCAGGTATTTCCATTCCCCAAGTGCTGTGAAAGTGATGCATGTGTCCAGAAGTGAAAGGAAACCTGTCGGTGGCTGCCCAAGGCTATGCCTCTGGGCTGTTGCATGTGGAAATACCCCAAAAGGCACTCAGGCCAAGAAGGCCCAAAAGTTGTGCCTTGAATCAGGGGCCAGCCGTATCATCTCTCCAAGAACTCAGCTCACTCAATGGTACTTCTGTTTCTGAGGCTGTTCCCTCAGTGGACAAATGTACCTGGGAAAGGTATTCCAGAATGCCTATGCCACTGAGATGTATGCCTCTCTAACAGGGATGACAATGGACTTTCATTCTCATTGCCAACACCAGTTGAAAGGAAGTGGCTACTGGCCATCTTGAAAACAGTGTTGGGGATTCTGGCTCCTCACATCTGGGTTTAGCAGAAGAGAGGGCCATGATCAACTGGTACTCACTGCCATGTACATGGGAGTAGGCAGCGAATTTGCTGTGAACTAGACCTCTTTGTACTCGATTTTCTCCAGGGTAACAGCTTGCTTATCCTATTACTCTCCTGGGGCTATTCCTTGCAAAGCTGCAGTACTTCTTGGGTGAAATTATTTTCTGCAGACAACTATTAGCTCAGTGGTCGTCCAGTGTGAATTAGAACTGCTTCCTATTTAGCACCTGGATAGATTTTAAAATATTCTGTCCTTCCAGGGCCTTCAAGCAAATAACATCACGTCAGAGTGACATTGCCAGGGCAGCTGCTAAGACCCCATCACCAAGGGCCTTATGTTAATCATTAAGAGTCCTTTAGGTACTCTGAGTACTCTCACTGTATCAGGTGGTTTCTTCCATAGTCCAATCTCAATTCTTGGCCAGAAGAGATGTGCTTCCCCTACAGCATACCACCTTAGGCCACCTGAAGACGGCTGGACTGTTCACGTTCAGCAAACCCAATCTGGAAAGAGGGCCAGTTACTGCTGTGGTTACAGCTGAATATTTGGTCACTGGCGTCGTCTAGATGTTGTTGGATGGGAAAAGTTACTGAAGATCTTTGTAAGATGGTTGTCCTACTGTGTTCTTGGCATAAGTGGTCCTCTTACCCACAGTCATCGTTTCTGTAGGAAGAAGAAACAAAAAGAATGCTTTGGTTTTCATCCATATATATATATTTTTTCCGTTATTTTCTTTTTTTAATTGAAGTACAGTTGACTTACAATGTTGTTAATTTTGCTATACAGCAAAGTGATTCAGTTATACATAAATATGTATGTATGTGTGTGTATATATATACATATATATATACACACATTTGTTTTTAAGTATTCTTTTCCATTATGGTTTATCATAGGATATTGAATATAGTTCTCTGTGCTGTACAGTAGTACTTCGTTGTTTATCCATTCTATACGTAAAAGCTAACATCTGCTAACCCCAACCTCCCACTCCATCCTCCTCCCATCCGCCTCCCCCTTGGCAACCACCAGTCTATTCTCTGTGTCTGTGATTCTGTTTCTGTTTCATAGATGGGTTCATTTGTGTCATATTTTAGATTCCACATATAAGTGATGTCATATGGTATTTGTCTTTCTCTTTCTGACTTACTTCACTTAGTATGATAATCTCTAGTTGCATCCATGTTGCTGCAAATGGCATTATTTTGTTCTTTTTTATGGCTGAGTAGTATTCCGTTGTATATATGTACTACATCTTCTTTATCCATTCATCTGTTGCTGGACATTTAGGTTGCTTCCATGTAGTGGCTACATAGTAGTGAATAGCACTACTATGAACACAGGTGGCATGTATCTTTTTAAATTACAGTTTTGTCTGGATATGTGCCCAGAAGTGGGATTGCTGGATCGTACAGTAATTCTATTTTTAGTTCTCTGAGGAACCTCCATACTGTTTTCCACAGTGGCTGTACCAACTTACACTCCCACCAACAGTGCAGGAGGGTTCCCTTCTCTTCACACCCTCTCCAGCATCTGTCATTTGTAGACTTTTTTTTTTTAACTTAAAAAAAATATAAATTTATTTATTTATATTGTTAATTTTTGGCTGTGTTGGGTCTTCGTTGCTGCGTGTGGGCTTTCTCTAGTTGCCGAGAGCAGGGGCTATTCTTCATTGCGGTGCGTGGCCATCTCATGGCGGTGGCTTCTCTTATTGCGGAGCACGGGCTCTAGGCATGTGGGCTTCAGTAGTTGTGGCATGTGGGCTCAATAGTTGTGGCTCACAGGCTCTAGAGCGCAGGCTCAGTAGTTGTGGCACACGGGCTTAGCTGCTCTGTGGCATGTGGGATCTTCCCAGATCAGGGCTCGAACCCGTGTCCCCTGCACTGGGGACACGGGTGAACCCGAATCCACCCTGCTGGTGGATTCTTAATGACTGCGCCACCAGGGAAGTCCCATTTGTAGACTTTTTAATGACGGCCATTCTGATGGGTGTGAGGTGGTACCTCATTGTAGTTTTGATTTGCATTTCTCTAATAATTAGCAATGTTGAGCATCTTTTCATATACCTATTGGCCATCTGTATTTCTTCTTTGGAGAAATCTATTTAGGTCTTCGGCCCATTTTTTGATTGGGTTGTTTTTTTTGTTGTTGTTGTTGAGTTGTATAAGCTGTTTGTATATTTGGGAAATTAAGCCCTTGTTGGTTGCGTCATTTGCAAATATTTTCTCCCAGCCCATAGGTTGTCTTTTTGTTTTGTTGACGGTTTCCTTTGCTATGCAAAAGCTTGTAAGTTTGATTAGATCCCATTTGTTTACTTTTGTTTTTATTTCTACTGCCTTGGGAGACTGACCTAAGAAAACACTGGTACGATTTATGTCAGAGAGTGTTTTGTGTATGATCTCTTCTAGGAGTTTTATGGTGTCATGTCTTATGTTTAAGTCTTCAGGCCATTTTGAGTTCAGACAATACTACAAAGCTACAGTAATCAAAACATCACGGTATTGGCACAGGCATAATGGATCAATGGAACAGAATAGAGAGCCCAGAAATAAACACACACACCTACGGTCAATTAATCACTGACAAAGGAAGCAAGAATATACAGTGGGAAAAAGAAAGTCTCTTCAGCAAGTGGTGGTGGGAAAGTTGGACAGCTGCATGTAAATCAATGAAGTTAGAACACACCGTCTCACCATACACAAAAATATTTCCTTTTTTTTTTTAGCACTGAAGTATAGTTGATTTACAATGTTTAAGTATATAGCAAAGTGACTCAGTTATATATATATATATATATATATATATATATACACATACATACACACATATATGTTCTTTTTCAGATTTTTTTCCATTATAGGTTATTACAATTGAATATAGTTGAATATAGTTCCCTGTGCTAACAGTAGGTCCTTAATGTTTATTTTATATACAATAGTGTATATCTGTTAATCCCAGTTTATCCCCCTACCCTTCTCCTTTGGTAACCATAAGTTTATTTTCTATGTCTGTCATCCATATATTTTTAATGGGTATCAGACAAGTGCCAGGCACTGTGATAGATGCTGGGGATACAGATACCATGAGGAAGACACAAATCCTGCTATCAAAGAGCTCACAGAGGGAGAGATTACAACGTGAGAAGCTAAACAACAGAGATGTGTGTAAAATGCATAGGAGCAAAGAGTGGGGAAGGACAAACTTCAAGGGGATTGAGGTCTACAGGGAGGATTCTGAAGATGTCTTGAGCTGGGCCATTTAGGCTGAAGGGGAGGCCGTCAGGAGAGAAGGAGGGAAGGCCACTGTGGGCCGAGGAAGTTGGAGGGACTGTCAGAATTTGGTGTGAGAAGTGGAGCAGGAGGAAGTAAGCCTGGGGAGGGGAGAGTGGTTCTGCGTGGTGTGACACCCCTTCCGTGCTCTCAAGCTGTAAGGGGTGGGCTTTTTCACTGGAGCCCCAGACTTAGAGTAGCAGGATATCTTGTGATTCACACTCAGCCCGGCATTCAAGTTAATTTAAACTCAGGGCATCTTCCAATACAGACTAAGAGTATTAATGCTGCAGTCACAGAGAGAAAGAAAACTGGAGTCACTTCTACGGACATAGCAATAACAAAGAGCAAATGTAAACCATGGGAGAGCTGCAAACGTTCCCAAACTGGAATGTGTGGACTGCATTTCAAAGGTCAAATGTTCATGTGTGAGGCTATTAGAGAAAGTAATACAAGCCAGAGCATAACTGGTGAAGGTAAAGCCAAGTCTGACGGTGACCCTGGGCTCTGAAGTGTGTGCATGGGTGTGGGTACACCCATACCCCTGGGAGAAGAATATTCTTTTCTGGATCTAGGAGGAAAATGTGAATGGATATTTCCCTTATATTGTGATTCAAATTCAACTTTCCCAGATGCTCTGGAGCACCCTCCAGCTGGCTCTGCTTCCCAACCCACCACCCACATCAGGTTCTGGTTCCCAGAGCCCCTTCTGCCAGCTGTGAGACTCATACTGCAGGCCAGCTTGCCAGTCCCTGAATCCTTTCTTATCAGCAAGGCAAACCATCAACAGGCTCAGCCCCACCAATGAATGCCATGTGGTCTGGAATTAGCTGTGCTGCTATTAGCCAGTGAGGCCATATGCCACACGCCTTCAGTTTTTGATTATCTATAGTGATACGAACTTTACAAATCCTTAGAAGAACCCTCTGAAGTTCTTTACTGAAGGATACAGAGATGTAGAGAGATTAGTTTGCCCAAAGCCATGCTAAGTGTCAGAGTTGGAATTTGAACCCAAGATTTCTAACTACAAAGTTTAAGCTTCACAGTATTTACAATAGCCAAGACATAGAAGCAACCTAAATGTCCATCGACAGACGAATAGATAAAGAAGGTGTGATACACACACACACACACACACACACACACACAAACAGACACACTGGAATACTACTCAGCCTTAAAAAAGAATGAAATAATGCCATTTTCAGCACCATGGATGGGCCTAGAGATTATCATATGAAGTGAATTAAGTCAGAAAGAGAAAGACAAATACCACATAGTATCACTTATATGTGGAATCTAAAATATGACACAAACGAACTTTTCTACGAAATAGAAATGGACTCACAGACATAGAAAACAAAGGAAAGGGGGGGGAGGGATAAACTAGGAGTTTGAGATTAGCAGATACAAACTACTACATATAAAATAGGTAACAATAGGGGCTTCCCTGGTGGCGCAGTGGTTGGGAGTCCACCTGCCGATGCAGGGGATATGGGTTCGTGCCCCGGTCCGGGAAGATCCCCCGTGCCGCGGAGCGGCTGGGCCTGTGAGCCATGGCCGCTGAGCCTGTGCGTCCGGAGCCTGCACTCCGCAACGGGAGAGGCCACAACAGTGAGAGGCCCGCGTACGCAAAAAAAAAAAAAAAAAAAAAAGATAACAATAAAGTCCTACTATACAGCACAGGGAACTATAGTATATTCAATATCCTGCAATAAACCATAATGGAAAAGAATATGAAAAAGAATATATATATATGTATATGAATCATTTTGTTGTATACCAGAAACTAGCACAACATTGTAAATCAACTATACTTAAATTTAAAAAACTTTAAAAAATAAAATGAAATAAAAAGTTTAAGGTTTAGCAATTATATCATTCCTAAACGCACTGTGTAAGTTCAGTCTATATATCTGAGCTTCTGCCTTGGTTTTCTAGATACTCTAAATCTAGCCAGATGAGGTAACTTTAAGAAACCCTAATCCAAGCTAGCAGCATGCCGCAGGTGCTGCGTATCCCACTTCAGCTTCCTACCTTCTTATTCCATTTCTCTGGATTCCCCTGGCCAGTGGCCTGCATGTGTATCTCACTTGCCCCCTCAGCTCTATACCCCATTCTTCCCTGTTATGACCTTAGTTTCACCTCTTCATTTGCATAGTCCCTCCAGACTGCTTTGGGTAGAGCTCTCCCAAAATGCCCAGCCTTAGGGATTACCTCTGTACCTGGTTTGTTATGGCCTTACCTAAGGCCTGCTTAGAGGGCTGGGCTATGACCTCAGCCCATCTTTTAACAGTCCCCATACCCAGGAATACCATCAGCAGAGGCCATGCTGCCAGTGGTCAAATCACAGTACAGCTCCAAACTGACCTCTATAACTGTGCCTTGCTCACT